AGAGTCCACAAGATAATATTTCCCAAGAGCAGGTGCGGGAAAATTAATCTCCGGATAATGTTGCATTTGCCAAAATGAGATTGTTGTGCGTATTTTCTATAGTCCCGATTAGCACGAGCGTGAAACACAGGTTGAAATCACAGACAGCGAGCACATTCTGAGTCGGAATTCCTTTCATTCACGTTTATTAAAGGGTAGGACGGCTCGCACGCGTGTTCCATCAATTGATTCATTATAGTCCTGATAACGTCAATCATTTAGGGTACTCTCAATATGTAAGGAAATAGTTGCAGAATAGCAATCCAATTTAAAACGACGACACATAAGGAATATATCGTTGTCATATATACCTGGAATAACATTTATTCCACAACGTATGATCGTCTTATTCCTTGGTTGTAATTCAGGTCGAGCTTAAGACATGTCCCATGAATTCAACCATAGCCCAAAGAACTATTTTGAAATAGTGGCTTATAGTCTACAACGAATGGCCAAAAAGTGTTTACATTTGTCTGTATCCTTTTCCGTGCGCTATATTGCACAAAAACAATCCAACCTGCTCGTACATACCTATGTTAGCACTACTTCGCAAACCGTACTCGTCACGAACCACGAGCGTGAAGTGAGCAAACATATGTGGGTACATCCGAAATTTCTGAAAACACGTTTGGGGATATGCATGCAAATTTTGTAGCATGAACATATGCCCACTGTGTCTAAAAGAAAAAAAAAAGGAATCGTGGTTTCGTAGAATGACGCATGTAATTTTGAACCATATGTTCGAAATTGGGATAATATTTGAGCCACGTTTCAATGTCCTCATCGAGTTATTGCATGGTGACTTCATCATCAGAATAATCGAACACATCGAAGTTCGGGTAGAGATTGCAATGACGAAATCAATATTCGGACATGTCTTCGTATGTTGTTGCAACAACATGAAATTTACACGGGATTTTAGTGAAGGTGGAGGATAGAATATTGTAGAAGCGGCTAGGTTTTTGTTGAAATAATAATATGCGTATGACACTACTTGGTCTTCCAACTTTGATTCTATTCGGAGGCTCAATTGCAAAGTTATTGCATCATTAACATGACTAGTGTAGGAAATCTTACACTTTTTCATTTTTGCAAGCAAAGATATTCCAATTTATTGAAAGGTGATAGAGATGTCATCAACTTTTTGTATTTTCAATCCAAATTGCCAACTGTGACTTGTGCTTTAAATTCGAAACCATGCACAAACGTTTCATAAAAGTCATTCAAACACAGATATATATGAAAGCAGGTGGCATGTAGGGGAGCAGTATGAAACAAAGGGACACACTCAATAGTCTGAATTATGGAGAACACAAATAACACTCTGAAACAAGTAGTTGAAAACAAGGACCAACAGTGTTAAAACTTTTTAGAAAAGCAAATTACCTATCGAAACTTGTACTACGTGATGAACCGGCTTTACATTCTTTCCAATCGTTGTAGCTCCATTTCAACCAACACATCTTCATGTCCTCGTCTTTAGCAGCCATCCATATCTATTTGTTTGCTCGAACTCCAAGGAACAATAGTGCGAACATGAAAAGATCGTTGTCCTATCGACAAGCACGCTAGCTTCAATTTTCGCGATACAGTCGAACAATAATATCGCAATTACTCTTTCTCCAAGCGAAGGAATGCAGTTTTGCAGAAAGGTCAGCCATTCGATCCATAGAAGTGGATACTGTATGCGAACCGTAACTTTTTTCTTCTCCTTATTCGAAAATGATGTAGACTTACATTTTCCTCCACCACGCTTCCCCGACCTCTGCATTGAATCATTTGACTGTGTCGTAATCGAGTCAAGACTTAATCACTACTTTTTCAAGGACCCGGCAAATGATCAACTACTTGCTCATTTCACTATCTTTCTGCATGTCGAAGCCACGGTGTGACAACTTGGTCGGGATCAAAGCATACTTGCTCGAATCAAAGGTAACTATATCGATCGTAAATTTCTCCCACGTCCTTATTTTTAAACCTGTGGTACTTTGATTTCTCTTGCAAACATGAAAAGCCTACATGAGCACGGTGAGATTAACATGGCAAAGAAGTTACGGTACAAGGAAAAGGTAGATGAACCAAATTCAACTAATGAACTAATTGTAGGTGTATAGTTGATATCAACAAATTTAGCATAACGATTTAAACAAAAAAAGCCAATGTTAGAAGTGTTTGAAACAGGTCTTGCTCGTGGAGTATCGGAAACCAAGTATAAGATTTGGGATGTTCATGGATAATCATAAAACAGATCAATGAAGTACGTAATTTTTATGTCACATGCTTACTAGGCCACTGCATCTAACATATAATAATTAGAGCACTACAATTGTTCGGCTCGAAACACTTAGAATAAATAAGCAGCCGACACAAAGAACGAAAACAATAGCAATGGTTATGCTCGAAAAACTGGAAATATGCAGATAGCACGATGGAGTAATTGCGGAACCATACCCATAGCTACAATAATTACAGTTTAATATTTCGCTATCTTAAGAAATATTGGTTAATGGCTAACGAGTTTTAGAATCATTTTCAATTGGACTTTTCATGCAAATACTTCAGGCGTAATCGATTCGAACACATAGCATCTTTCAACCATAGTTCGTACTACAAAAATTCAATTTTTTCATAGCAATGTCGTTTCAAAACGGAAAATATCAGACCACGTCACAACTCAATTAACTTAACACTACAGTCCATAACAAATGTACAGAAATGCATAAAACAAATAGTCAAGACCACAAATTTCCGCTTAGCTTGATTTTTCTCTCCTACCATTCCTCGTTAGCCAAAACACGATTTCAGATGGTTTGGTCGTATTCCATTCCTGTGTAACCCAATAGCTCGAACAAGAGCTCGTGATTGAGCCGCATGGACTGCCGTGATACTTCAGTTTGGTGTTGGTCCAGTTCTTGTTGGCCTTTTGGTTGAACAATGATAGAATGCGGTCCTAGCTAGCCTTCGTAAAGCATTTGTTGTGACGGTGACCTTCAATCACGACAAATTCTCATGCGGCGAGGAAAATTTGGTGCTCCTTCACGGCCCACTTTGCAGTTTTACATGAAGGTTGCTCCAACCGAGGTTTTTTGATGGGTTTCCTTGCAGTTGAGAAGGGGCGACGGATGTGCATGTCTGCAAGAGGTAAAATAGGATATCACTGGAGTCATCAGTCATCACTTGAGATGGAAATCCATTTGAAAAGTAGGCACAAGAACGAAAGAAAGAAAACCGAGTTTTTACAATGTGCTGAGGATACTGGAAAATTCGTCCATTTCGCCAACGTTGAGTCGTGTTTGGTTCGGTATTGAATCTCCTTTAGGCGGGAAGCGGTGGTTCAACCATGACATCGAAGGAGAAGCAAAGAAGAAGTCGAAAAATGTAACTGGTAACCTTCAAGTTGATCTATAGGGTGCAAAACGAGATGGAAGTACTGAAAGGTATTTTCAATTATATATTCCACACAAAAATATTTTACGCGTAAATTTAAAAAATTTTCTTATTTTTTAACCATTTATTCTTTAAAAAAAATCACTATTTTAAAATTTATTTTTTCCAAAAAATTATTTTTAATGGGCATGAGACAGGGCTTACGTGGACTGGGAAATGAACCTTGCCAACAAAAAGGGTAGAAAAAGAAAAAGAAAAAGAACACACATTCTTCCATGTCATCACTCATCACCGATTATCCACAAAAAACCGACTGATGATACAAAAACGCTGTTCAGAGAGAGAGAGAGAGAGAGTAAAAAGAGAGATTCTTTACAAAAAGGTAAAGCAAGATAGGTCTCGAAACAAATTAAAGTATACTACAGTGAAGGGTGCCCAAAATTTGAAGTAGTTATAGAGCAGCAAGCGTTAGATCTCTCAATCTGTTACCCATTTCACACTATTTACTGTATGTACTGAATTATCCGAGGTTCGTTTCTTCGAATTTTTATTTCTTTCGTTTTATGTATATGATTTTGATTCAGTTAATTTTAGCCCTGGGTTTAATATTAGGGTTTTGAAAATGTTAAGTTTGCTGTTTTGAAAACATATGCTGTAATGCTTTTAATTTCGTGTTTGTTGTGCAAATTTTATTTTTCTAGATGCCAAAGTTCGTATTTTTTGCTGATTATTCTTTGATTGATTTTTTGGTGGATGCTTTCTGTGATTAATTGCTGAGAATTCTGGCATTCTGCTACATTTTTTCTATGATAAGTCTGTTTCATTTCATCAATTGTGGGGATTTTTTGGAAATAATTGTTTGTATCAGATATCTGATAACCAACTGCAATCATTGAAGAGGGAACTTTTTTGTGTTGAATCGTGTTTTTCAGGAGTTGCCACAGGTAGTTTTGGTTCGGCAGGTTCAGAAATTGGTTTGGAATCATTGAATCCAATCCAACCATTTCTAAACTGCATTTTGATGATAAGATTTTGTTTGAATTACTAGGATAGTATAATTTTGATAATAGTAATTCCACTAAAGTCTACAGGTTTAAAACTAATTTAGGCATGACATGTTCAGTTTTTCTGCATATACCAGTTCTCTGTTGATATAACGAGTAATATATCAAAAATGCTGGATAAGAAGAAGATTTATAAAATTATAAATGAATGTTTATAATTATCTAATAAGAGTAGGTGTGCTGTTTGTATAGTTCAAAATTCTCAAGTTGTGTGGTCTGATGAGAACCTTATCGTGGTTTTTGAATTTTTTGGTTTACTGAAATGACATCAATGCACAGAATTTTGACAGCTGGTAACAATTTTTCTTGCAAGTAAATCACAATCATCTTTGACATCAATTACAATGACTATTGAATCATATTAATGGTTTAGGATGAAACATACTTGAAAATGGCTTGAGTTTATAATGCTCTTATGGGCTGGTTTCTTCGAAGGCAATATTTGTGACTGCGCGAGGATGAGGTGGAGGGAAAAATCTCCTTTAATTCTGTAAGGCATACACCTCCAAAATGAATGCACAACATGAGCATATTCAGTCTGTGGAAGTTAGGAGAGCCTGCAATGAAGTATTTGATGTCAGTACACACGAAGCATTCTTCATTGACGTCGGGCTTGAGCTTCTTGACATGGAGAGCAGGGTACCTGTTAAATATCTGTTGTGTTTGAAGTTAGTATAAACTGATAGGTTTCTTATGCCAAATAGAATGTGTGAGGAAGCAACTGTCAGTTTATACCAATTTAAAATGGCAAACTTGCATATATAAGAAGCCACAGTTATCAACATAGACTTCCATCTGGACACTTCTAACGCTAATTTACAGAGGCAAAACCTTGTAAATCAACATATTTTCTTGAATTTAGAGAAAATGACATGAATCATGACACCAGTTCCATCTGCAGATTTGTGTTATATGTAATGGAATGATGATAGATGGTTAGAAGAATCCAGTAGAATTGATTCATCATCTTCTAATAGACTTTAAAATTTCTTGTAGATGTTGTATTGTCTATTAATTTTGCAAACTAAGCATATAAACGTATCCACTTATTCACTAGTTTTAAACTTTTTATCACATTATTTTAAGTTTTTGAATATTAGGAATTACAATATTTACTGCAATAGTTGTATAAGAAATTGAAATGCAGCTTCCTTCTTGCATTTTTTTTTTAATTTTCTTTCGGTGGAATGGTGGTGGGAGGATGGGAATAGATACTGTCTGATTTTACCTGGTATATGTGACTTTAAAGGATGACGAGTGGTAGATAATATTATATGCTTTGTTCAAGAAAAGGACTCACTCTATATTTCTTGTTATATTTTTTGCTCCTTTTACAGCCATGCAGTAACAGAGGATCTGGTTGTCAACAAACATAGCATTAAGGAGAAGTTCAGAAGTAATCAAGTCTAGGTATTGTTTGTCACTCCTAAGAGACCTCACAAGCCAGTTTCCCTCTTTAGAGTTATCTTTGAGATTCCCTATTGTTCCACATAATACATATTTCATATTTCCTTCACCACTTTAAACACTTAGATCAGACTATATATTTATGCTTTCCATCTCGATATTTGTGATCAGGAATTTTCTCCATTCTCATAATTGTTTGAAACATTGTACTGGTATTGGCGGGACAAACAGCATGTCTAAATGCACAAGTTCCAGTGTGATGGATAAGAAAACTTTACATCAAACTGATGAAGTCCACGAGGAAGGTTGTTTACCAATTGAGAATGAAGAGTCAAGATCTTACACTTCCTTGCATCATATCGTAGACAAGGAGGCGGGTTTGGCAACTTGTCGAGTATGTCAATGCGTTGAATCCGATGGAGGGTGCGATGCTGCACTGGGATTTTTGGGTATTTCTCCACCATCTTGTGATGTAAATAATAGCAACCCTGAGGTCAACACTAATGCCAAAATCCTGTTAAAAAGTGAGGCGAATGATTCTGGTTACAGAAACGATGAAAAAGGTTCTGGCTTTGTTGAATTTATTAGCCCAGACGGTGAAGTTTTTGTTTGTAGTACTGATGTAGAATTGGGTTATGATCACAACCAAGACAGGCTAGTTGAGCTCGGGTGTGCTTGCAAAAGTGACCTTGCTCTAGCACATTATGCTTGTGCGCTGAAATGGTTTATCAACCATGGATCAACCATCTGCGAAATTTGTGGTTCTGTGGCAAAAAACATAAGATCTGCAGACTTTAAAAAAGTCTTGAGTGCTTTGAAGGAGTATGAAGTTTCAAGGGAAAGGATTGTGAATGGGGAGCCTAATCCTGCACCACTGCCAACAAATTTTGGTGTAGATCCCATTGCTGTTGCTGCAATTCGAAGACAAAGACTAAGTGAAATTTCATCGTGGTTTAATCCGCACAGCAACTCTTCCACTGTGTCCCATGTGGTTAGTGAACCTCCTTCTACTAATATTGTCATGGAAGAAGGTGCCTCTGCAGAAAATACTGCAACCAAATGGGCTGTAGAAGGCACTGGGATCTTGCTTGCTACAGGCCTTCTGACGGTTACTCTTGCATGGCTTATTGCCCCCCGTGTTGGAAAGGTATTTGGAGTTGCTTCTTTGACGTGCATTTACGAACTTTTGCTATTACCTTACCTGATTGTCACGTTGTTCCTTAATTTGCTATTTTTTTGTCTTTAATGCTTATGCCTTTTAATGCTTGTTCTCTCTTGAGGTTACTAAATGATTGATGGTTGGGTTTTATCTGCTAAAACATGAGTAGAATGTGTATGTCTTACAATTTTAAGATGGGGAAGGATGCTTGCTGACTCTAAATTCTCTATTTAAATTCCACACTGTGTAAGTAAAGTATGCATCTATGAATCTGAATTTTTTTGGAGTTCATACGTGAACGTGTGCTTACATGCGCATTATAGAGACAGAGATCTCTAGGGTGGTTGAAAAGCTTAATAACAATGGTATATCACCTAGGTGAAAGCTACGATAAGATATTTTGAACATATTACTAATGTACCGAGTAACTATTGTAGTTGAATAAATATTTATCCGGGTGAACATATCAAATATGTAAGTGTGATTAGGATTAACAGCTAATTGATACTCTGCATTTCCAATTATATGGGCACAGACCACACGCTATTGTATTGTCGAGTGCCTTGTGGGATAGCTGATAAAGATAAGCTACTGTCAGTAACTTTTTCCTGCTATCTGAACTTGAAGAGTTGAATTGGCTGCTTAATTTAGTAAATCGGCTTTTGAATTCAGAGATATTAGGCTTTACTTGGCCATTGTTATGTTTCACCATTACTATTCGTTCACGGAGCTGTATATAGGATTGTTAGTACCTTTTGGTGGCACTGGAATAGCATTGATGCACTGAAAAAGATAAAAGAAAATATAAAGAAAGGCCATTGTTTCCTATTCTTAGTATTGCATGCATTCTAAAGAGAAGATGAAATATAAAGGTGAAGCCAAGGGGGAGAACTGAGACTTTCCACAGAAGTTTGCAATACAAAGTCTTCTACCTTTTGAGAATACCACTTAGGACTCAAAATTAAAGGAAAGATGCCAAATCTAATCTAATATGCAATCATTGTACTATATCAAACAACCTATGAATTATTTTAAATTGATTTAATTAAGCCCCATTAGAGTTTTATCAATGCACGATAAAGGCTTATATATACTGTGTGATCGACAATATCAACTGCCAAGGAGACTACGTAATTCTCAAATGGTGAAAGAAATTGCCATCCTTTTGTGATGACAAGTTGCATGTCCCATTTTACAAGTTCATTTCCTTGTGTATTTATTGCTACCCCTGATTTATCTGACCACCTTCTCTTCTTTTGCAGAAAACTGCCAAAAATGGTCTTCACATTCTTCTTGGAGGAATATGTGCTTTGACAGTTGTAGTTTCATTTCGCTTTGTAAGTTCAAAAGTACTTACTTTCATATACTCTCTTGACTAAAAAAATAAAAGTACATTGGATCATCTCAATTATATAGAATTTACAATGATTACTGAGATTGAGAAACCATGAAGATTCACTGAAGATTGGATGCATAGCCCAGTGAAGAGTATTTGAAATGATCGACGCTCTTTTTTCTGATATTTGTAAAATATTTTGTGCTTCAGTTTCTGATTTTAATTCTTTGGCAAATTGTGGCTTTATCTTTAACTGATTTGCTCTTTTTCCTGTATATTTCCCCCTTTTATTTCTGTTTATCTTTTTGGAAACCTTAAATAGAAAATGGACACATAGGATTGCAGAAACCCGAGAACGTTGTTTTGGTTAGTAGTGAAATATGTAGAGCACATGGTAGTTACTCGGCACTTGATATTTCTGGTGGTATGATACTCAATTTCCCCGTCCACTATTTTGAAAACCCTATCAAGTAAAACATACTCAATTTCCCCGTCCACTATTTTGAAAACCCTATCAAGTAAAACTAAGTGTTAATATAATTTATTCATGCTATAAATCTCATATATATATATATGTTTCTGCTTGGGAAGGACAATACTTTGTGTGGTTCACTTGATTATTTCTACCTTACTTTTATGAGAAGTCATTTTCTATTGTATCTTCATGCTAACAAATTTCCTCGTACTTGTACAGTTTGTGCTGACCAGAATTAAGTATGGACCTGCACGATACTGGGCAATTTTGTTCGTCTTCTGGTTTCTTGTGTTTGGAATATGGGCGTCAAGAACCCACGGTGATCATTCAAAATGATTCCTTTACATTTCCCTTTTTCCCATTTTTAAGAGAACTCGATGCACATATGTCCAGTCTTTTCTTGAGCTGATTTATCCATCAGTTAAGCAAAATAAAATTTCATATCAATGTATTTAGTGAAAATATGACATTCGTATTACAAGCTCTCCTTAGGAGGTTTGGGATGATGTATGGCTGTTGAATTGCTAAGATAGGATTAAATATGTGAACTATTTCTATATATGAGAATTCTATTTGATTTTGTTAATCCTATATTATATATCCTTTCGATCGAATTAAATTCCAGTATATGGTTGGATCTGAATTATGTTTTCCAGAAGTTTGAAACCTCTTTTTCTGTAGCCACTCTGACCATTCAATTTGTCAATAATTGTACAAACTAAACACGAGGTGACTACTAGGAAGAGAAGCGGATCCTTTTCGATTTTCTAGATCATTTAAATATTATCTTTAACATGTTCTCTCGCTTGCAGAGATCCAAGTAGAAGACATAATACGTATGTTTAATGTTGTGCATGGATATCAAAAATAAATTTGATTTGGACGTTATATTGGCAGTTTAAGCTTATCTCCCATTAGGGGAGGAAAAATTTATCGCACTCCCCAATCTTACGAGGATGGGTCATGGAGCACCAGGTTGCTGAAAATTATATAACCTCGTTGAAAACAAATCTATTATGCATTGCAAGAAGTGAAAACATTACGAACATACATGTATCGAAGATCAACAAACCAACATTGAAGCATAAGGTTTGACTTACAGCAATAGACTAACAGTGATCATCTTATGTCATACAAGATAAAGAGTTGCACAACAGTGATCATCATGACTTGTTCGAGGACATGTTTCGGACTTAATTTACAGGCTACTAAGTTACTAGTAACCGTGATAGTTGAAGTCAAGGCAGCACAAGAAAATCAAGTCTTCTTCTTCGCCAACCAATCTGAGGCCAGTTGGATTCAATGTCGCCAAGCTCCGGGATCTTGATTCAATGAGTGGGGATCTGTTTTACAAAAATAAACAGTATTGAATACTATATTGTGCTATGATTAATATGCTGCACTGACGGCAGTGTACAAACTTCCTTTCTTCTTTAATTTTGTTGACCCTTGTCTAATCTAACATATCAAAGATGTCACGAGTAAAAAGGTCTATGTATCAAAGTCTAAACCGCCTTCAGCTTTACACCAGGGCCTTTTTCGCTTTAGCAGTGTTTACAAAGAAAAGCCAGTTATCTTTCTATTATTAGCCCCTGTTTTGGTGAGTATTAAAATCAGATTTTTAGTATATTTTGATAAAAGTTAATGAAATGTATGATTGAAAAGTTGTGCCATGAAATATGTCGTTAAAATTAATTGTTGACTTTGACTTAGATTAAAATCTGAATGTTAATCCCCACCGAATAGGCTTGATATAAAATAATAATAATAATTATAATAATAATAATTGATGTGGTCATAAGAGAGCACCCCGAGCACGAGGACTCTCAGGGCTCTTTTTTACAATTATGGGACCAATGTGCTCAGAAGTCATATAGTCCTTGGGGGTACCTCGAGGACTTCCAGTAATAGACCGTGCTAATCACGTGGGGTATCTTCAAGGGTAAGTCCTCAGGTTTTTCCCTTTGCCTAATTCTAAAATGTTCGAGTACTAATAATCCCCACATCTTAAGAACCCTAAACCTATCCAAATATTTCATTTCAAGAGTTCTAGGTCCAGAGGGAGTCTATTTTGAAAAATATTACAGTTAATGTATAATCGGACTTATAATTATGGTCAAACACTTATCCCAATTAGAATTCCTAAAAATAAAGATACCAAGTCCGGTAAGAAATGCGCTACCTATCTCTATAAATATGAAACATTAGATCATTACTCTGGTACGTTTTTACATACAATTTTCAGCATCCAAACTTTTTCATATTCTCTCTATGACTTAAGAATTGGAGGGGCGACGAGGACACACCTCGACGCTTTTGTTTCAGGTATCGGAAAATCATGTCTGTACTCGTTCTTAGATGTCAAGCTCGGAATTCAAAAAGTGCGATTTTTGGTAGCATCAATAATAATAATAATAATAATAATAGGAAGATATTTTATATATACAAGCCAGCCTGTGGGGGATGTCCAAAACAAAACCGATCCAAACATGGTATCGATATAAATAAAGGAAGCTAGTAGTTGGTTTAACTATTTATTCAATTGCTGAAAGAAGCCTAGACCGTCTGGACAGGAAAAAAGAGCTCTCTACTCTCAAAACAATGTTCCTCTTGCTCAAAACTAATTAGACTACTCAATACATAGCTCAAGTAAATTGGCTTTTCTATCAAATACCTTATTCTCAGCATCAATAGCAGAAACGCTTACCTTCTAGGCCGAGTGGGTCAGGGGCCCGAAACTAGAATCTGCCGGCTTAGAGGTTGAGAAAGTTCCAAGTGTGTGCAGGTCATGAGATACATACATCAAGGGAACAACCGTGCTGATAACCTGCCTACATGAGAATGCTTACTAGCACTTCACCAAAGCTACAAGGGAAATTTTACTAGTTGGACTTGTACTGTTAATACCGTATTGATTTGTCATAGAAGAAAACATGTTTGTCAAGAGTGATATGGGTCCAGAAAATAGATAAGAGACTGTGTCCTATATATACCCATCAGAAAGTGGAAGTTATAACACTATTCTTTCTACAATATCTCATGATTCTAATCAACAAAAATAAGTGAAGAATCTCTTACCTAAATCAGTTTTTAAATATATATACACTCATCAGAGTGGAAAAAATAACGACATCGTCAATCCAACAGCAGAAAATCTTAAAGTTCTTTCATTAATATCTTTTGCATTTTCCAAGGAATCCAATATTGTGTTCATGTCGCCTTATCATCCTAAATTTCAGAAATTTCAGTAGAATTTGAAAGTAAAAGACTGGGGAAAAATCCTATAAAACAATCCAGTCGGCTGAAATAACTATATATTTCTTCTTTCAGCCTCTTTTAGGCCTCCTCAACACAGGAAACTCAATTATCATCAGAGAGCTCCCATACCAAAGAAAAAAAATGCCAAAAGAGGCATCCTAATTTTGCAGTGAACAGTGATATCTTTTACTAATTCTGCCTCCCTTGTTAGAGTGATATCGCTTCAATTAATCAAATACTACGATTTTCTTGCGGCGTGTTTGTGATTTGAGGAATCCGAATTATACAACACTGTAACTGCTAATATAAATTTTCATGTGGTTTAAACTTTCAACACCGACTTTCTATATAAAATCAACTTACTCAAGGTGCCCCTTCTATGTGGGGCAAAGCATCTCACAAGTTATAACATGAAAGAAAAAAACTTCTTACACAAGATATTTGTAATGACATCCCTGTTAACAATTGCCTAAATAATCTCAGTAGAACTTCTCCACATTTTTGCAGATTCAAGTTATAATTTCAATGCTTTAAATTTCATCATCTAATGCTTAGAATATGAAAAAAGCTAATTATTTTCTTAGGCTTAAATACTTTTACCATCAAAAGAAACAAAATTGGAGAACAAAAGTTATGAAACACTGACCTGGCTAGCCTAGGCAAGATAAAAAACATCATCAGTCATCAGAAGGATGTATTGCAAAATCCTCAAAGGCAGGTTCCTGAAATCCAATGGCGGCAACCTTAATTCTCTAACCCTACAAGACTCCCCACCATCCCCATTAGCATTGGGCAGCTTTATAGCGTTACAAATTCTATTCATACCCGACTTTCTATACAAGTACACTGAACTATCCATAGAATCTTGAACAGCTTGGTTATTAGCATTAGTCTTGAAAAGGGTCCATCCCATTCCAAGCAAAGCCTTCGAAAACCCATCCATCGAATATATTCTCTCACCGGTGATTCTTGAAAACAAACAACTTGAGGTCCAATCCCAGTTGTTATTGTTCAAAGACTCGATTTTTTCGAGTGGGCTGCGATTACTTTTCAAGAAAACCAGCTTGAAGAAGCCTCTGGACAGATTGACAAAGAGGCGCAAGTGGGACATTGACGCTGTGGTCAGAGATGGGAATGGCAATGGAACGGCGTCGTTTCCCAATGACCATGAGCATGATGGCCATAAGAAGATGATGTGTGAGAGAGATGGGTTTGGGTGAAGATCCATGCCAATTTCTCGGGCAAGTTTGGCTAATCTGTACGTGTCTTTTACCAATTCTTGGGTGGGATTGAAAAGAATTAATGGGGTTTTGGCTCTTGATTTGGGGATGGTATCATCAACATTTCCATGGTGATTATTGTGATTAGAGAAAAACTGATTTTGGGGAAGAAGAAGAAGAGGGTTTGTATAGTTTGTATCAGTATCAGGAAAAATCAGTGAGCGAACAAGCTTTAATGGCAGCATGCTTCTCTCTCTCTCTAAAGAGATGCAAATTTTACATAGGTTTTTTACGTTTCTTTTATGTTCCTAACTTCTTATTTCAGAAAGAATTTCAACTTTTGAAGACGAGTTAATTGACGAACACAAAATGGGAACCGGAGCCCCAAGAACAAATGAGAGGAGCGAGAACCGGAGTGTCACAGCAGAAGGGTAAATTGCGGCGGCTGTCCCAACTTTTGCCTCCTTTTGCACTTCTCTCCAATCTTTTATTTCTCAACACTTTCACATCCTCAACCCCACCCCAAGCCCCCACCGTCTCCCCACGACAGTCCCAACGCCAACACAAGTGTAAAAAGAGAAAAATATTGAGAAAAATAGCCGCAATTTACCGACAGCAAAACTACACATTGTTTTTCCAAATTTATTATATCCTAATAAAAAGTAAGTTGGCTTCAAAATTAAGTAATAAATAACAAGAAATAAAAAAGGAAGAGAAGGTGGAAAGAAAGATCAATCTCTCTCTCTCTCTCTCTCTCTCAGCTATCTAGCACAACTTTTTTAGCTCGACCTCTAATTAGTTGAATGTCTATGGTCTTGTAATGTTTATGTTTATGAAGATTATTAAATGAGAAGTCCATACAAATAAATTACATGAACAAAAAAAATTAAGCCTCTGTTTAACAAATAAATTTATAAATTTCTTTTTTCAAAAACGTATAGTATATTTGGTACGTAATACTGAACAATACAATTCTTAATATTGTTCAGAACTGTACAATCTACTTAAGTAAACATGTCATCTAACTGATGGATTGATAATCTACATATAGTGAAATGTTCCCCTGATCAAAAGGGCTTCTGCATGTACATGAACACGTTGTCGAACGAAGAAAACTGATCGTTGTAGTGCATTTGAGAGACGAATGGATCGTATTCGAAGCCATCCTTGTAATTATGCTGATGATCAATGGGTTTCTGGAAGTCATTCCACGTCGGTTCACTTTGGACCTCCTTATCAACCATGAACTTGGGAGATAACGCATGCTCAGAGCTACTCGAGTCGGCATGTAACTTGGGGACTGACTCGGACGCTTCAGAATGCAAGTAGTCACTCTTCAATAATCGCGGTGCTATGGCCGGCAGCACTTTTGTTACCTTCCCATTATATACGAAACCATCCAATTTTGGTTTCTGTTCTTTACCATCTGAAAATTGCAAAGCCTTCTGATCAACATTGCAATGCTTCTCAAGAGTACCTCTCTTGTTGTATAGTCGACACAACACCCAATCATCGAGCTGACATAGCACAAGACATAAGAAGATCAATACATTATATATTTGATATGCAGTACTGGATAGAGTCAAAGAGTACAAATAACCATAAATCGAACACAATTCATCATCTCAAATTGCTAATCAAGTGCAATATCAATTTCTGCTTCTAATAAACCAGTAACTCGATGCATAAAAGAGTTAGTACCCTCGAATTGTTTTTCTTCCCGGCAGATCTATCAACATTGGCTAAGCGGTATTCGTGCATAATCCAGTTGGTTTTGACCCCCCTGGGAGCTTTTCCAGCATAAAACACCAAAGCCTTCTTTATGCACAGTGGCTTTGGCTTCCCCACTGGCTTATCAGCTCCGGTGGCCTTCCAGTACCCCGTCCGAGCTGCCCGGTTCGGACGTGAACCATTGGGATACTTCCTGTCTCTTGGAGAAAAGAAGTACCACTCTTTTTCACCATACAAAGCCATACCTGTTTTCAACAATATTCAGAAATCACATAAACTCCTGGTTAAACGTAAATTGAATATCATATATATGATATGAGCATAAAGAAATTGAAAGGAAACCCAGAAATCGATGAGAAAAAAAAATTAGAAATAAAGAATTACCAGGAAGATCCCAAGGGTCAAATTTATAAAGATCGAGATCAGCTATAATTGGGACGGCGATTGGCTGCCCTGCAGATTTACGGCAGAGGTAATGCACCACGAGCTCCTCATCCGTCGGATGGAACCGGAACCCCGCCGGTAAATTCAACTGTTGATCACCACCGTTCATTCGCCTTTTCTCTTTAAACTTTCTCTGATTTTCTCAAAGTTTCCGAAGTGAAAAGGTCGTCTGAGTTCTGAAACGAAGATATTGGAACCCAAATCTTCCTTTATATAAGCGGTGCATGTACCAACCAAGTTTTTAGCACGTGGGACTCTGCATTTGGTCCCATATTAAAATTCTCAAAATATAACTTGGGGGTGGGTTCGTAGATGTCGACAAGCTAATCGTGGGACGCCACGCGAAAGAGATGCCACTTGCTTCCGTCGGCGGGTGCTGAAAATTAGTGGGTTGTTTGGTTGAGCGCTGAATATTGGTAAAGCAAATCTTAAAAGGTGTTTGGTGGGGTTTAAAATTGGATTTTTAGTAGATTGTAATATAAGTTTTTTAAATGTGTGATTGAAAAATTATGGGACCATGAAAAATGTAATTAGTATTGATTATTTGACTTTGACTTAAATTAAAATTTGATTTTAATCCGAAACCAACATGATTTACACTAGTTGAGTACTTGTACATCCCTTGTTGACATCAAGGTTGAGATTATGTGCAGGAAATCTAATAATTGATTGAAAAAATTATTCTTAAAATCAATGTTAAAAAATCTGCCAACTCACGATGTCAAATTTGATGTATATGTAGCATGATTAACTTGACTAATAAGAATGTGTGATTAAAAAATAAGAAAAAATTGGAGAATGCAAGTTGAAAAATAAGAAAAAATTCGATTTACGTGTACCATTTTTTTATATAATTGAAAATAAGTATTGAAAAAATGAGTTTTTATAAAAATGAAGGCCAAACATGAGCCGAATATGCTTATAAATTTTGTTGATCAAATATTATTTCCGAACTTCCAGATTTTTAGTAGACGACATATTTTGTGCCTTGGACACAATTTGGATCGCAAACTCAAGCTTGATAACTTCCATCAAAGGGAAAAGAGTAATGTTATTTGGACCGTGCTACTCTACCAAATTGGTACAAAATCTGGTAGAGCCAATTAACCATGGAGGGTGGGTCATGGGTGATAAAACATTTGGGGGATTTTTTTAAAGAGGTGGTCCCGAAACCTGGTAGAGTTGATTAATTCATGTGAAAAATATGAAGATAATGTACTAGTGGTATGATTGTCCTCTTTATAAATAACATTACCAGGCGAATCACAGAAGAAAGGAAGAAGAAAAGAAGCCATGGATAAGGAAAAGAAGGGTCGGATCTTGGCAGTTCCATTCCCAAGCCACGGCCACATCAATCCCATGATGCAACTCTGCAAGCGTTTGGTCTGCAAAGGGCTCAAAGCCACACTCACACTCACCAAATTCTATGGTAAGAAAAATATGAAAGAAAAATCTGGTTTGATCCAAATCGAAACAATATCAGATGGAGACGATGAATATGACATATTTGATAGACAGAGTGTGCCCGATTCTGTTGTTCGATTCACGAAACATGGGTCAGAATCNTAAAAAAAAAAAAAAAAAAAGGGGATTGGCGGGATAATGCGCGCCTAGGCACGCATTTTGGTTGGAAAACGCATTTTTCCCGCATTTTCCGAATTCGACGCGTTTTGATCGCGCGTCCCGCCTAGGCGCGTCTAAGCGGCGCTTTTTCTCGTTTAGAATATGGGTTTTTTCTTATAATTATAATTAGTGGTTGGCACCTGGCGGCTGTATTTTTCTGTTTCCTCCCATTGTTTGTATGGTTTGACTTTGGACCATGTGGGCTCGAAGAAGAAATAAATGGTCCTCTCATTTTCGAATACGGGATTCTTATCCTTTTTTAACTCTAGTTGGAACCCATTACTATGTTATTTTTTATTGCTTTGTTTACTCCGAAGTCTCCGATTATCTTTTCATTCATATCCAAGAAGCTCGAAGAATTCAATAAAAACACTCGAGTTCTTACAGACTATTCATTTATCTAACACGAAAAAAATATTTTCTACATGTCATACCGAATTGTACATGGATACATGAGAAAAAAAAAGGTATAAACGACTGAAAAGACAAGAAGTGCATGAATGTCTCATAATTCAAAATGGCTTCAAGGGACTAGCGAGATTTGGCTGCATTTCGACCTTCGCGTTCAACTATTTCTTCGGAGGAACGAGCTCTCTAAGTAGTCTAAATCACCTAAATTGATCCAATTGAGTTAGTCATGTTTGTGACCTTTAGGCACGTATGCAAATTTGTTCCACTTATGATTTTCAATCACGTTCATAAGACTCTTCACATGTTTCCTAGCACGGAGTTACGAGGAATATTGATTTTATTAAAACTCAAGATTCCATCATAAAAAATCAAACTGGTTAAAAGGAATATATAATACAAACATATCGTTCAATTTATAATTTATCGATAGTGGTGAGGGTTGGGTGGGAGTGGGGAGGAGGGAATAGGGCAGATGACACCACTCACCAAATACATACATACCCAAATAATACCTCAAAAAAGATAAAAACAGTCAAACCAAAGCAGCCATAGACTACAGAAAACTTCACTTGGTCCCAATTAATCTTGAAAGTTCAATCCTAATCAATCATGATTGGATTGGAATTTAGTCGATCAAATATAAAAAAATCTTTATCTGTATATAAATTTATATAAAAAAATCTTTATCTGCATATAAATTATTATGTACAAGTAACATTATTCTTATAAAAATTATTACGTATTAGACTATTGATAAATATTCAACCGTTGCGCTTCATGTAATAAAAAAAACTTCTCGATTTTCTTTTTTTAACACATCGTTCGTATATAAATTAAAATTATTATATATCTGCTTACGTACAAACAGAACTATTCATTCAATATTCAAATGGGCGAGCCGACAAGCTGATTAACATCTGGATAAGAACACCACAACCTCGGAAGGTGCTTTGTTCACCACAAATCACCCGTCTGTCTTTGTCATTGGAGATCTTAGACAAAATCCTTAATACAGATCATCAATGAATCCTCGAGG